CCACATCTAATAGGGAAAGCAGCCATGTTATCACCCTACCTTTCTTTCCTTAGCATTATTTGAGAACAAGTCAGATAGGCAGGGAAATGGCAAAAATAAACAAACCCTAATACTTAGTTCTGCATACAAGCTACTCCACGGTGATTGCCCTAGCACAGAGGTGCATGTTGCCACACTCCACGGAGCTTCCACAAGCTTCCAGGAATATTCAGTGAATCAAGAGCATCATGCAAAGTACTGGACACGTGTTGCCCTGCCTGGGAGAATATTTTCCTGAATAGCATGCCAAGCTCTAGCCTGGTCTCCCTAAGAATCTCTGCTGCCACCACTACTGGTCCCACATCCACGACCATCATCCTACTCCTCTCAAGACCAAGTGACCCTATTCCCAAGAGTTCCAGTGCTCAGCCAGCAACTCCTGACTTACCCTCTGAGATGACAGCACATCTATCTCCACAGAAATGGGTCAGGAACATGAGAGGCCCCATCCCTCCCTGGGTCTCTGGTCAGAGGAAATGCCTGTGTTTCTTTTACCGCAATCTAGCCTGGACCCAGGCAACCGAGCTGTGCTTAGGAAATGCCATTAAAGCTACTGTAAATGGTGTTCATCTTTAAAATATAGTCAAACGTGTTTAACAATTCCAGGCATTGAAGCAAAATGAAACATAATTTGTGTAAGCTCAGGGGGGTGGGAGAGAATGTGGATCATTTTAGGACCCACAAGTAGTTCAGCAGGACTGGAGCATAGGTACAAGTTTTAGGAGTGCTAGAACTGGGGCTGGAGCAGTAAGCAAGACCTGACCAAGATGGGTTGTGTTAGTCTTGTTAAAAAGCTTGTATTCTCTCCTGAGGGTCATTAGGAGCCATTGAAGATCTTGTTGGGGGCAGCCAGAGATGGGATGAGATGCCCATTCTGCACAAGTCATTCTGTCCAGAGTGAGGACAGTGGATTGGAGGCCACCAGGTGCAATCTAATGCAGCCTCCCTTCATCTAATTCTACCATCCAAGCTCAGCTTATATGAGACCTTCACCTGGAGGGATGCATAGGTGCCTTGCTTTCACTGGTAATGTTAGGGTGACTCTCCACCCCAACATTCAGAGGCCCTACTCTGCCTGCCCCAGTAGCATCAGGGTTAAATCAGGTGAAGGGGGTATGAGGGTCTGGAAAGCAATGGGGGACACTAGCCAGTGTCGCGGTGATCATGGAAACACCCAGGGCAACAAGGATCCCAGGAAATCTTTTTCTAGCTACAAGATAAATTTATTTTCTAAACTCCAGAGTATACCCATGCTTTCCAGGCAACAGGACAGGTGGATGCAAGTTCTCTTAAGGTACTGGGAAGAGGGGGCCACCTGGAAAGGAGACACCGAGTCACTGCCTCTCCTGACCTTGTCCTCCAAGGTGAGGCTGCGAGTGGTGTAGTAGGAATTTCTGACAATTCTCCTTGAGATGGAGCTGCCTGTGCATTTTACTTCCTGGGCCTCCTGCTTAGTTCTTTTCTCTCTTTAATCTATATACTTGGGGGTATCCCATGGTGATCACGCCGAGTCCCAAAGTTTGAAGTACAAGCACTATGTGGACAGCTCCTTCGTGAATCTCCAGTCTGGACCTCTCAAACTTTAGCCTACTCAAAATCTCTGCTCAGTTGTTCACAGATATCCCAGGCTTCAAGTGTGCTGAGACAAATGTTCCATCGTCCAAATAATCTGCTTCTCCTGCGCTCCTTTTGGAAAGTAAATGTCAACTCTGTCCTTTCAAATGTGTAGACTCAAAATCTGAAAGTCAGCAGTGATTCCTCTATCAAACCGCACATCCAATCTATTATCCAATCTTGCTGGCTTTACCTTTAGTACATGTCCAGAACTGGCCACTGCTCACCCTTCCACCAGCTGTAGCTTGCTGCAAGCACATCATCCTGTCCCCTCTGGATCATCGCCTCCTCATTGGTATCCTTACATCTGCTCTTGCCCTCCTGTGATCTGTTATCCACCCAGCTGCCAGAGTGCTCATTTTAATACTCAAGTCATGTCAGTCTTCTGGCAAAAACATCCCTTGGCTTTCCATCCCACTTGAAGAAAAGGCAAAATTCTAACAATAGCCTACAGATCCTGTGCAGTCTAGCTCATAGATACTTCTGAGTCATCTCCTATCTCTTTATTCTCTGCTCCACCCCATCTTTTGCTTTCTGTTCCAGCCACACTGGCCTCTTGCTCTTCCTCGAAGACACTAGCCAAGTCCCTACCTCAGGACCTTTGCACGTGCTGTTCTCTCTGCCTGAAATATCTTCCTTCAGATATTTGCACAGTTCCGTTCCTTGCTTCTTTCAGGTCACTGCTCAAATGTCACCTTTTCAGAGAGTACTACACTGATTGCCCTATATAAAATAATACTCCATAACCCCTTTACCTAGATGCACTGTTCTCCTCTGCACTTACCATTCCCTGAGTTAGCCATGATAGGCTAAATAATGGTAAGGTTACAAATCCCAAATTTAAGTGGTTTATAATATAAAGGGTTTTCCAGTGATATGCTGGAGCCAGCTTGTACTGGCTCCAGAGAGCCAACTGCTAACTTTTCAGGAAATTTGTGAGCCAGTTGTTACACAAACATATATAATTTATAAAAAGTTAAATTATATAAAGTTATAATTAAGTAAATTATATTAAAACCAAAGGCAATAAATACTCAAAATGCATCGCTTCTTAATTATATTACTACTTATTTTACTACTATTATTGATATATTAAAAATTTTATTATTACTACATACTACTATTACCTATGCACTTGATGTTATTTCTCTTGTATCTGCATGGTGGAAATACAGTATTATATAATGACATGCTACTATGCATCTCTACCTAACTCCTCGTCTGGTGATGCCATATTGAAATCAGTCATACTGAGAGTATTTACACACTGCTGAAGTCAGTAAATGCTACAAATCAAGGTTTGATTTATTTTTTTTTAGTGCTTGTCTAGACTTATGGAAGTAATGGGGAAATATTTTATGATTCAGATTAAACTCACAAGTGTGCCATGTCTGCAGCTGTTACACTGTGAACAAACGGCACAAAAAATTGAGGCAGTATTTCTCTAGTATTCAAAAACTTACCCCGATTCAACAAAGAAGTCATTCACATCATAGATGGATGAGTGAAGTTCTAACATATGTCTTTATTGTTTCATCTTATTTGTTAACATAAATGAATGCATCAGCCAACATGCAGGTTGGAACTACAGTCCTTTGTGAATGGGAACCACAAACTGATTATGGATACAAGACTTCAGCAAAAAATGAACCAAAGCATTCTGTGGGTATCAGTTGGATAGATGCAATTTCAATGTAGAATACTGTATATTTTATTATTTGTCAATGGCATCCTTTATAAGTTAAACACATACATGTGTGCACACACACACGCTGCCCTTCTCCCTTGGAGAGTTGGCCATTAAACATTTACCAACAACCACTGGCTCATCCCTCTCACACACTCCATGTCCATCATGGAGCACCTGTTCACAACCTTCACTCTGGGCCCAGGTGATGGCACTTCCATCGCCTGAAGCATTGCTGATTGCTATAGGGGGTGTGGGGGAAACGGGCATGACAAAGGCTCTGCCTGGAGGTGGCACGAGCTACTTCTGTTCATATTCCATTTACTGAAGCAAGTCATCTGGCCATGCCTACCTTTAAGTGAGGGGAATCCCACTGTGTGTCTAGAATGAAGAAAGGGAGAACCACCACAGCACATTGGATGTTTACTTGTCTGCTGTCTGCCCCACTCCCAGGCTTGAATGTAACCTACATGAGAAAGAGTTGCCTTGCTCACTGCCATATCCCAGTAACCCAAACACCTTGGAGATGCTCTATGAATACTGAATGAATCTGAGAGGAAACTAGCCCGAAGGGGAAAGGCTCTGGAAGCAAGCCCCCATGGACGAACGGAGAGTGTCATCATTTCATGTTTTCTCCAAATCTTGTAAACAATTTGTTTTAGTCTTAGCCTGTCATATGCAGCTGAAATCTGGAGCAAAGAAAATCACATAGATGGATATGGCTCTGTGTCATTATTACAGGCAAGCGAGGCAAAATTGAAGGATGCAAAATTGAAGGACGTATCACTCTCAGATTCATGTAACTGCAGGGTTGGCCTCGAGAGTGAGCACCTCCTTACATTTTGTGCCCTTGGATTCTCCCTTGCTTTACCTTAGCCTTGGTTCTATAGCAGGTCTCGTCCAGGAACTCCCAATTCCACAGCCTAATGGACAATTCCAACTCTAGCAGCTGCTGCTTTCAGACACAGCCAGGAGCATATACAAGAGAATGCTTAGCTGAGGCAATGTTATATTCACTCTTTGTCTAGCTTAGAGACATAATAAACTCCAGGGGCTGAATGATGGCTCTAAACACTGAGAGACAGGCCAAAGCAGTAAGAGGGAGGTATTACTTATTTTAGAATAAGCTCCATGCCATTACCTTATTGCTGAAATCTTGAAGTTCAGGTGTTGACTGTTACTACGATTAGGTCTGATGGTATCGCACACCCGGGATGCCAACAGCATCAAATCTCACTGATCGAGTTCCCACTGTGTGCCAAGAAAGCAGACACTAGGCCTTCATGTACATGGTTTCATTCATCAACCAGCACCCTAACTCTCTTTTCTTGGTATTTCCTGTGCGTCAGAAAAGGAAACTGAATCTTCGGGAGATTAAGCAACTCTTTCAAGGTCAAACAGGGAGCAGCAGAACCAGGGTTTGAAGGAAACCTTTCTGAATCTGATGTCTGCCCCTTCTAAATTAGCGCTCTCATCTATCAACCTGCGAGAAAAAATACAGAAAGTATCATTCAGGCAACACATGAACTCAAGACACTGAGACTTCACTAACCTTCCTCGCACGCAAGGTCCTAAAGGAACTACCACACGCATGTCCACATCTGATGCACAGAACAGACTCTCACCGCATCGAAATAAACCCCAGTATGATCATAATAACTTTTTTTCTTTCAATTTTTATTGAACACAAGTATTCTGACAGAATGCAAAGTCAAAATTCTCAGTTAGTACTCAGTATTTACACCAGTGAGAATGGAAACAAAGGTGGTATCGATGTTTCACTTGGTAAAAAGTTTTATAACAAGAGAGAAGGCCCCCGAAGTACAGAATGCTGGGTAGGGATGTTAATGGAGGTCTGAAAACCGCCGTCCAGACAGACGCCTCGAGTGAAAACCTGGGACTCGGAAGGCTCCATAGAAAAGTGTGAAAATAGAGTTCCACCTCCAAAGCTGCACTATGTACACCACAGCCCTGCAGGGTCCAGTGGCCCTGCTCATCACACTTGAGTGCTCCTCCAGCAGAACTTGGCCATGCCGGTCTTCATGTGAATACATATGTATGGCACATACACACATAGACACATAGACATTGGAAACTGGTGGAGTTGATCCCTCCTTCAAAAATTAAAAAAAAAGAAAATTATAAGCTTTGATCTCTTAACATAAAAGATAAAACATCTTGGAATAAAATGACTCCCTCTTTGATTTTAGAGAAAGCATTGCTTATTTACTTTTTTTTTTAAAAAAGGAAAACTCTTGCATGCTAAGACAAACCTACATGTAATGGGAGAGAACAGACCAAATGTGGGCAGAGTCTTAGGTCCTAGCTAATGGCAGAGCCAGGGTTCTAGGGGGTCAGCTGCCCCGGGCCAGGTGATCTGAGAGCTGACCTGTTTCTTTCTAACCATCAGAACCAAAATCAGTTGACCTAACCATAACCACTTTGACAGTCTTGACAAGGCATGGCATGGGCTTGGCCTGATGTGGCAAAGCCATCGACACTACAAGATGAGGAACTGAGTCCGCTGAACAGCCTGGTGACTGGAAGAGCCTGCCCCTCACTGCTGGGCCCTCCCGGTCTCAGACCCCCAGGCTCTCATATTCTACTGTGTGTTCCAAGATCTCTCTTCATGTTCTTCTATCCTGAGGGCCTGTGCATTTGAACCAGAGATCTGTGCTGGCCCTAGAATCAAAGGGGCCAGGGCTGCGTGTTCTGGGATCCTCCATTTCCATCCCCAGGAGCTGAGAAAATGCAACATAACCCCACATGGAGCAAATGACAAGACCAGTATTCTTCACAGTTTGAAAGTATAATCTAGCATCGCCACTGATCGGACTGCAGAAGTGTCAGAACATTGGGGAGACTGGCCCACAGAATCGACCCAGAGGCAGCCTTGCCACCCTAACCTCTTGCTGCTTTGTACCTTAGGAGAGGAGCGCATGCGGAGTACTGATTTCTGTTTACTTAGCGTCATCTTCATCATCATCATCATTTGTATTTCATTTTCTTTGTTTAAAGGCTTCGATTCCTTTTAAGAGTGATTTTTGTTTCCTGAATATTTTTTTCTGAACTATCTGCTATACCTTCCACAACCAAACTATGTTGAAGTTTTATTTCAATACTATGACAAAAACACGTTTCACACTAAAATATTCACGCATCCACAGTGCACAAGCTTGCAGTTCTAAAGTAGAATGAGGAAAAAAAAAAAAAAGCAAAATTTCTATACAAAGGGCTGGCTTTTCCCTTCTCCCCGCCCTCCCATCCCCCTTAAAGTTTCTGTATTTTTCCCCCACTTGGTTTCCAATCCAGGAAAGTTGTGTTATGACTCCAGACAGTAGGTTGTTTCTTTTCTCTTTTGTTTCTATAAATGCTGCCTAAGTGAACAGAAGGCCGATGTTACTTTACTTCAACAGATTTCCAAAAAAAGACACTAATTCCCTGAAGCACACATGCTCTTCCGCTCAAATCTAGATTCTGGGCTCAAAAGGAAATGGTATGTATATATTTTATTTGGCTTTCTACACAAAGGGGATGTGTGGGGTAATAATGTGTGTTCACCAAGACCAGCCCCAACTATACAATCTTCTCTGCTTCATTCAACAAAGCCTAAGGAGCCCTTCAAAAGAAGGGTGAGAACGCCTGGGAGCAGATCCCTTTTCACAGATGCAGGCCGGTGGCGGCTAATCAGAAAGTGGCCTAACCCCCAGAGAAACACAAAAGTAACCAAAAATTGAAAAAGCAAAACCATTCCAGAATGAGATGCATTTTCACCTGAGTGGGACCCAGGCAAAAACTGCAGGTCAGAAAAGAGGGGAAGAGCAGCTGTAAACAATCATGTTTTGTGAAGTCGTCCTGTGCTAAAGCAAGCGTGGGATGATCCTACCTACCTCTAGGTGGTATTTGTTACCTTAAAAAATAAAAGGCAGCTATTTCACATGGACATTTAAACACAACCAAAGTCGAACATCTGTCACCTTGTAAACACTGGAAAACAAAGTTGGCAGAAAGAAAAAAAAAAGAATGTAAAAGAAAGAAAAATAAGTCTGAATACTGCAAATTGAGATCTACCCCCAGAAGCTGCAATTTGGCATTCTTCCTACAAAATAAGAGTCTACGTGGGAATTGAATTCAGCTAGAAAGGGTGACACACTTTGCATACTGAACAAATACAAAGTGAACAGAAATTATAACTTATTTATGAGGTTTTACAGAGTTCAAACTTGACTGAAAGTATAAAAATAAACTGTGGACTTTGTTCATTCGATTAGTCTTAGTGCCTGAAAGTTATTTCTCTGAAACTGGTCTGTGCCAATCGGGTAACACCAAGTGTGGTCTTCCTGAACCTAGATTTTGTTTCTGAGCTTCCTAGATTCTTAATTTGGGGTCCTTTTGTCTGATTTTTAAATGGTTTCAGGGAACGGAGTGTCCTAGTTTGGCTGTGGGTTTAACCTTTTTGTCTCATTTTCTTACAAGTGAGTGCTAACAAAGGGACCCTTTCTATAAGATTCCCATGTTTTATCTGTTTAGTTTTTTTTTTAAAGGCAAAAGACACTAGAGAAATGAGATGTGTGTGTGTGTGCGTGTGTGTGTGTGTGTGTGTGTGTGTCTGTGGTGTTGGAAATGCTCTGGTGAAGCTGCTGTGTCACTTTTTATTTTGATCTTTGCTCGGTTCTCGTCACCCATCATGCTTTGCTCTCGTTCTCCTTTGTCTGTGTGGCGTCATTGGGGACCGTCTTGACTTCGGCTGGCGCTGGCTTCGTTTCTGTCTCCTGGCACTCTGGCTTTGCTTCTACAGGGCCCTTCCTGCAGAGAATCAGGAAAACAGCACCACTGAGACCACGGTCTGCAAACATCTCGCCCCTGTATCCAGGCCCTGGGGACAGCGGGGAGGAGGGGGTTCTCCAGTGTCAGCACCCGGCTCCAACCGCTGCCCATCAGAATCACCTGGGAGCACTAAAAATCACCCATGCCTGGGCCTTGTTCCCGGAAATCCTGATTTAATTGGTCCGGACACGATGACTTTTAGAAGCACCCAAGTGACTCTAATGTGCAGCCATAGTTGAGAAGCACTGAGTCAGAAGAACGAGTCCTCTCCTCTTCCAGCCCTAAGGTGATGCCAGAGGCTGTGTTTTTACCTGGGGTGGTGGAAGGGGGCAGCAGAGGCAGCTCCTCCTCACCCTGACCAGCTGCAGTGGCAACAGCGCAGCTGGATGTAAATGCAGCCTCGGGGCTGGGCTGGGCTCCCAGCACTGATTTCAGGGGCCCCTTTGCAACCCACTCTTGCCTGTCCCTTCCCCACCCCACCCTGTGCTATTGCAGGATGATGCCTTTAGGGCCTGCCCGGGTAGGGTGAGAAAACACTGATGGAGGCAGCTTCTCATGGCAGCTTGGTGGAGGACTGGAGTGGACCTGGTGGCTATGCGGGAGTTGAGGGCAGCTGAGTGGGCAGTGCCATCAGAGTCCTTTTCCCTCCTGATGCTGAGATTCAGGGCTCCTGGCGAGAGCCCCTTGCAGCCCATGGTGGCAGCATGTCAGCCTATCTGGGGAGCAGCCACAGGAGCCTCTATAAAAATCTAGGTCTGACTCTGCCTCCATCAGTTCCAGCAAAGGGAATCGGGTCTGAGGATGCATGGGGACAGGTACAGACCCCAGCCTCAGCTGGTGCCACTGAATTTTGGCAAGACACTTACAAACCTGAAAGGTTAAGGACTTTCTCCGGAACTTAGAGACCCAGCAGCCATGTGATGCTGGGAGCCCCGAGTCTTCCCAGCCACTCTAAGAGCAGGAGAAGCAAGAGTGGGCTGAGGGCCGGGATTGGAAGGGGAGGGTGGGCATCCGAGCCAGAGTGCGAGGGGGCCTCTGGACTGCACCCTCCCCTGCCACGGGCCTGGGGCCTACCTCTTTTCTTCCTGCATATCAGTGTCTTTCTGGTGGGGCCTCAGCCTGGCACTGAATAACACACCGACTGGGGGCCCCAGGGTGGCTGATAAGGGCACCTTGGCCTTCTTAGCCTGCTTCCCAAGCTATTCTCATCAGTGGCCCGACTGCAAGGGCTCCCCCAGGGAAAATAGAAGCCGCTGCTAGGATGATAAGGATAAAACATAATTAACGTGGCCTAATTAGCCAGCAGGCGGCTGCTCCTGGGGCCCAGCTGCCTGTCCTGCTCTCTCTGCCTTGTCCCAGCCCCTTGGTTGACGGTCGCCTCAGAGAAGCCCTGGATGAGGCTGAAGACACATCTAAGAAGGAGGACACAGCACAAATGCACACCACCACAGGACACAACCCGATGACAGCAGACAAAGAGAGGCCCGTACTCGGTCTTTGCTGGCGCAGGCGAAACAGAGCTGTCTGCAGTGGAAGGAGCAAGCTCAGGGGCTTGTCCACTGGCCCCAGCGGCGGGAGCAGGAGAGCCCAGGGCTGCAAAAACATCCTTTGCAAGGTCAATATCTGGGGTCTTGAAGTTCCCTTCGTCCATTTTAAAGTCCTCGCCCTGGGAAGGGTTTGTGGTGCTGACGGAGGCAGCCTCGCTCTTCGGGCTAGCAAGGGCTGTGGCTGCCTCGGCCGGGCTCTTCGAGGCTCCGGGCTGGGTGGGCTCCGGGTCCGGGCCTTTGGTGCTGGGAGCCTCCTGCTTGGCCTGAGGGGCTTCTGTGGCAGGGGCAGCCGCTGCTGCTAGAGGACTGGCTGCCCCAGTCGGGGTGGGGACTGGTGCAGGGGTGGGCTTGCTGGCCGGAGGAGCCTTAGAGGCCTCCCCAACACTAGCAGGGGCGCTTGGGCTGAGGACAGCCCCTTGGTTAGCCAGGACACTAGAAGACAAATTGCTAGCGGCAGGGGTTGAGGTCGGGGTGTCGCTCAGGTCAACAAGGGGGGCGACCTTAGGGGCTGAAGCTGGGGCTGGGGAGGAGGCAGAGGCGCTGGGCCCCTTGGAAGGGGTGGCCTGGCCAGCCGGTACAGAGTTTGAGTCAGGCGTGGCCGTGGCCGGCGGGGCAATACTGGAGGTCAGGGTGGTGGTCTCACTGGTGGGGCTGTTCTGAGCAGTGGCAAAGGTTTCGGTGATAGTGTCAGAGTTAGTGGTGACGGTGGTGACAGAAGGCAGCATGTCCTCGACAGTGGCCGTAGTGTCGGCAGGCAGCCTGTGGAAGGACAGGAAGTAGAAGAGAATAGACAATGAAGCTGAGACGTGACAGAGAAGCGAGGAGGAGGGCTGAAGCCCAGGACAGGGACCATGGGGGTGGGGGCATGCAGTTAGGCACAGGCATGGACACAGGCCCACACAGAGAGAAGGATGCTGAGAGGAAGCACACGCCCAGGTGGGCAGAAGAGGACACAGGAGACGACAGAGAACGTGGCGGTCTCAAAAGGGACCTGCTAGCCCTTCCCCACTGATGTCCCTCCAGCTCTCTGCACAGAGCTCCCTTTCCCTGAAGTCCCTGCAGACCTGCCTAGGGCTTCCTGATCCCTGCCCTGGATCTCGACTCAAGGAGGGGCAGGCTTCTGTTCAGCATCCACCTGCCCTAGGCTTCCTAGGTCCCAGAGGAACTGGGCCCAGCTGCCCTGCAGGGCTCCCCAGGGCACTGATGGGAAAAGTCACGAGTAAGGCAGATCATGAGTACTCAGAATGGCTCCTGGGAGCTGTGGGTTCTTCCAGCCACAGATTTTGTGGTTCCTTGAAACTCCATTCCCTTTAAGCCCATAGGATCCTTGACCGTTAGGCAGGCATTACAACCACAACTGGTCAGGGGCTCTGTGGGTCCCCGAGGTTTCTGAACAGAGGAGGGGCCAGGAACTTTACCAGGTCCCTGGCTTCCCTTATCCTTTCAGGAGGAAAACACAAAACCCTAGAATTTCAAGAAATCCTAAGCAGACTCTGCTAAGCCTCATTGAGATTTTGCCACCTTAAGTCATTTCCAGAATATGTGTACAACTTGAGAACAGGGGCTAGGGATCCAGGGATCCCCGCTCATACAGGAGCCTTCTAAGGGTACCCACAGCCACCGAAACAGCACCAAAATGCCTTCTCTCTGAGGACAGAGTGAGGTCAGGCATTTCTTAGCCAAGCAGGTCTTGTGGCCAAGGGTTTAGAATCTCGGCCAGAACTGTTTGGCCGGGAGCTGTGGGTAGGGGCACGGGAGGTGGGGATAGGGTGGGGAGGTGGGTGTGGGGGTCTCTATGGAGCGGGTGCCAGCCCCTCCCGGCCCACGTACTCGGGCTCCGTCAGTGGCGTGGTCTCGTTGGGCTCTGTGTGTTTCCCTCCGTCATGGTTTGGGGTCCGCTCCTCCTCCGTTCGGACCTCCACGATGGGCTCCTTGGACTCGTCTTTCCTGTGGAGACAGCACTGCTGGTTAGACCCTAGGGCAGCTGCAGGGAGAGGCTCCCCTAGAAGAGCAGCTATGACTCAATCCAAGGCTGGCACTGTGGCCATAGAGAGCCAACAGATTCAAATGTATGAGTCTCAGCCCAACTCTTGCTAGCTGTGTGACCTTGCGCTTCGGATTTAATCACCCTGCCTCAGTTCCTTCATCTGTAAAATGAGGCAAAAACAGTGTTACCTTGCCTAGTTATTATGAGAAGTCAATGAGAGGATGCATGGGAAGTGCTAAACACAGTGCCTGACACAGGTCATTGCTCAAATACATACATCTATCTCTGCACACAGGTATACACACATTTCTTTTTCTTTTCTTTCCTTTCTTTTCTTTTCTTTTTTCTTTTTTTTTTGAGACAGAGTCTCGCTATGTCGCCCAGGCTAGAGTGCAGTGGCGTGATCTTGGTTCATTGTAACCTCCGCCTCCTGGGTTCAAGTGATTCTCCAGCCACAGCCTCCCTAATAGCTGGGATTACAGAAGCATGCCACCACGCCCGGCTAATTTTTGTATTTTTAGTAGATGCAGGGCTTTGCCATGTTAGCCAGGCTGGTCTCAGACTCCTGACCTCAAATGATCCATCCATCTCAGCCTCCCAAAGTGCTGGGATTATAAGCGTGAGTCACCCCTACATATACATTTCTAAGTATGCGCACATACATGTATATGCATATACAGTGCCTGGCATGTGGTGGTGCTAAACAACTTATTTCCTTGCTCGGTCCCTTTCTGGCTTGCTCCAGCTCTGCTCCACCCAGTGACAGTCTTCGAAGGCTCCTGCTAACTGGCTTAGGATCTGATTCTCCAAGATGCTGTTGGAGGGACAGTATCTGGATCATCGGCTCCATAAGGACAGGAATTTCTTTTTGTTTTGTTCCCTGCTGTACCTATGTGCCTGGGAACAGTGCCTTGCCTGCAGCAGCTGCTTGCTAAATATTTGTTGAGTGATGGATGGATGAATGAATGAATAAATGATGTGCGAAAGCAAGGCGAGTGTGTCCCTCTAATGCTGCCCCACCCCAGGGCAGCTCCTCTCCAGGTTTAGTTCCGACAGTTTCCCTCATTTTGACATATACAGGGATTTTCACACTCTGGGGAGATTCTAATACAAGAGATCTGGGATTGGGCTCCAGAGTCTACGTTTCAAACAGGTAACCCCCAAAGACCATGCTTTGAGAAGCTTTTCTCTAATGTTTTTCCCCCCTCAGGGTTCCAAATGGAGAACATGCAATGTAAGGAAAGGTCACGACAGGCACCAGCTGATGGCTCGGGGTGGTGCAGCTGCTGGGTCCCTGGGCTGGAGCAGAGCCCAAACCTCAGCAGGGTGGACAGGTCTGCACTCACGAGAAGGCGGCCTTGCCCTCCTCCATGTCCTTGCCCTTGGCCCCGGGCCCGGCTTTTCCACACAGGTTGACCGCAATGCACATGAACAGGCCACATTTGTTCAGGAAGTAGCAGGTGATGTCCACGACCACCAGGAGCAGGACGAAGATGACGATGAGGATGCCCACGATGGCCCCGGTGCTCAGGCCTGAGGTGGGGCTGCCGTTGGCTTGAGAGGGAGAGAGATGGCTGATGGTTAATAGACTGAGATGCGAGACCTCCGGACCCTACCAGCAAAAGCCTCTGGGGGTGGGGAGGTCCCAGAGGACTGAGTCATGGCATTCATGCCCAGAGTGACACCTTCCTGGGGCCTCTCTATGGCCCAGAGTTGAGAAAACAGGGTCTCTCTATACCTTCCAGAGGGAGGGATGACAACGTCACCTCACAGATTGGGGGATGAGGGTGAGCCTGGTCAGCTGGCCTTCCGTGAGTCCTGGGAGCAGACTGAGCCCCGCCTGTCTGAGAACACTGGCTAATGAGGCAGTTGGAGGGCACTGCTGTGTTTCTCCTGGACCAGGGCAAGAGGCTCTGCAGCACAGGCAGGCAGTGACCACTGATTTCAGGCGGGGCTGTGGCTCCTGGAGTACTCAGGGACAGGGGCCCAAAATGGGGTGGTGGAGGGTTTCTGGGGCTTTCTTGGGGCTTGTTGGGCTGTCCATCACAATAGCATCCCCATTATACTTCTCCACTTCCTCTTTCCCTCTTTAGGAATGATCCCAAAGGAACCCTGCATTAGAGCACCCTGGGTTCATGGTTTACCCTCCTCACTGCACCCCAGAAAGACGAGTGAAGCCCGGGTGACTCCAGAGACATGGAGGCCTCCCCAGGCCCACTGGGCAAGGTGAAAGGTCTGGGAATACTCACCATCTAGGAGCTCAGGCCTGCTTGGACCAGACTTCAGGAAAACCTGAAGTGAGTGCAGACTCACTCAGAGGTGCACACACGCACATTCAGGCACACTCACACTCAGGATAAATGCCCCCGCAGACAGGCATGCACTTTCACATTCTAGCACCTGGCACCCTGGTTCTGGCTGGACACACTCTGAAAGACTCAGCCTGTGTCTTACTTCCCTGGTGCCCATCAATCCCCCCAGGGTCTTCGGCTATTGATGGTTTCACAGAGAGACCGGGACTCAGCTCTCTGGGGCCCCTGGGAGATCAACCCATGGTTATGATTGACACTAGTTGCCTGGGATGGACCAATCGACCTCTTGGTGGTTCCCAGCAGTGTCTGGGAGACAGTGGTCATGATGCAGGAAGCAAGGACCCGTGTGGAGCTCTGCCATTAAGTCAATGTGGGAACAATGACCCTAGACTGAAATATGGGCACTTCTAATTCATCTTTCCTCCACAACGACCTGCTTCCATAACTGGCAGCCCTGCCCTACCAGTAGACTTTGTCTAAAGCTTCCTGTGCTCTCAGGGCCAACTGAAGCCACCCAGGACTGCAGACTGAAGATGGGAACTACAGCCAACACTACCTGGGGCTCACCCCACCAGCCACCCCACTCCCAACCCAGCTCACTAGGCTTTGCCAAGCACCAGGCCAGGCCCAGCAGCCTGCGAGCCATGTATCATGCCAGATAGATAGTGGAGGAAACATGTAACCAAGTAACCAGCACCAGAGCTGGGCCACACATTCTTCACGTTTCATGCAGCCTGTGTTTGCGGGAGGGTGGTGGTAGTGATGGCTCTTTGTGCCCCAGGGTCTCTGTCCAGGCACTGTAGTGCTTCTCTGGTGGCTGTCCCTCTCCATCGATCCATATTTCAAACTTCAGTTTGGGGAATGGGCCATCAGCCTAGCATGCCAGAGAGGATCCCTTGCAAACGACTCCTGAGACCCTTGGGTGCAGCTTGCACACGTTTTCAGTCCCTTTGGGACCTTGGCTTGCCTCTTAGCCCTTCCTCCTCAGGCTCCCTGGTTGGTCCCTGCCGACCTCGCACTGAAGATCCTAGTGCATTCCCCCAGGAAGGCTTTTGAGATGGCGAAGAACTCTGCTTGGAGAACCCAGCTCTGGCCAACTGTCTCCGGGCTTTGGCAGCAGGAAGCTGGCCACTGGCCTCAGCTGTCAGCTAGAATGGGTCATTTTCTTAGTAGCCATGAATGCAGAGGTATTTCTGTTTAGTCTCCTAAGAACAAAACCATCCATCTCCCCAGAGTCCTCACACATTCCACCCAAAAAGCAAAGGAGACACAGGCCTTCTTGGTCTTCAGGATCCCAAAGCTGTTTCCCCGAACAGGGAAGAAACTTTAGCCTTGGGTTTTCTCTCCATTCCATGACACAGGGTTCCAGGCCACCGCAGCCTCTGGACATCAGGACCCGACAGGTGGGAAGTGCCTACTCCCTGAAGAAAGAGCTGGAAGTATTTTTTTTGATGACAGTGGGGAATGTGTCTGGATTTTTGGACTCAATGGCACTAATTATATCTTCTGAGGTTTATGTGTAAATATGATTTTGTGAAACTAATCATATCTCTAAAGAGGAAAAATAAACTCCTGCAAAGCTGCTCTATGTGCTTGAGAGGACAGCAGCTGAGACAACTGCTCTGTGCTCGTCAGACCCAGCTGGAGGGCGGCGCTGGCACTGCGCACATCCAGGGGAGGGCCAGGCAGGGAAAAGTCTTCTGAACTGTGGCATAAACAAGTAGGGCAGCAGCCTCCCCTTTCATTTGAATATAAAATTCAAAGTCTTTCTCCCGGTCTAAAAGGCTCTGCCCACCCCTCTGTTGGGCCTCATGGCATGAACCAGCAGCCTCCCTTCTGCCTGCTGAACACACCCAGCTCGTCCCGCTTTAGGGCCTTGATGATTCTGTGCGTGGAACTCTCCCTCCGGGGTGGCTCTCTGTTGTCCTGCAGGCCTCAGTCCTGGTGTCACCTTCTCAGAGAAGCCTTATCTGATCTCTTATCTAGTGTGGCACCTCCAGCCAATATCTACCATGCTGCTAGCCTGTTTTATTCTCTTCTTACTACTATCTGCCACTTTCTGTTCATTTACATGCTTATGATCTAGCCATCCCCTCTAGGACATCCCAGCAGGTATCCTGCCTGTCTCTCTTGTATCTCCCCAGCATCTAGGACAGTCCTGATTCACAGAAAATGTCCAAAGAATATTTGTTGCACAAATGCATGAGTGTTTAGTCTGGAGATGAGAACGCTATTTCCCAATATTTAAAGGTGTTCTAGGAAGAAGTAATCTTACTGTATATGGCACCAACGTGTGGAAATTACGGTGGTGGCAGATTTTAGCTCCATCTGAGAAAGGACTAATAAACAGGGCTAATCCAACATAGTGTGGGCTGCTCTGAGAGGTGAGCTCCTTGATGCTGAAGGCATTCGAGCAGAGGCCGGAACACGCCTTGGCAGGGATGCTGTAAGGCTGTGGATGAGGCTCCTGCACTGGGCAGGAGCGTGGGTGGAGACTGTCTCTTCAACCACAAGAGCCTGTCATTCTAAGTCATACATTCTACACTGCCTGGCACATGGCACCGGTTCCCTAATGCCAGTATCCTCCAGAGTGTGGACTGAGAAAGACTTTTTCCTACAAGACTAACAAGCTCGGTAGGTCCCATCTTTAATCATTGGTCCTTGTGATTTTATTTTTGCATGAAAAATACCTTTAAACTCAATGTATCTCCACCTGTAGCAGAATTCCTGGGGCATTTGTTAAAAATTCAGCATCTGGGGCTCCCCAGCTCTATGAGATCTGAATCACTGGGCATGAGGCTCAGGAATCAGGAGCTGAACAAGCAGCCCAGTTGATTCTCATGAGGACCACACTCCTAGGTCTTCCCTCCCCTGCATCACAAAGAGGAACAGGTGCACAACTCATGGGATTTGCCACCCCAGGGTGCACTGCACTGTCTCACCCAGTGACCCTGAAAACAAACTTGACCTAATGTATTGAATATAAAATGAAGAGTATCCCCCAAAGGAAAAGGGACCACACTGTTCACCACCACTGAGTCTAAACTCCTCAAGCACGTGAGATGCTCCTTAAGCTAGGAAGAGAATGTTTGTGGCTTTTACAAAAAAGAGGCTATGAAGAAGGGACAGGCTGTGAAATGGGCAGCAGGGTATTCAAAGCAAAAGCCAACACCCATTCCCTCTCAGTGAGTATCACAGAATTGTTTAGTCCAAGATAACTAGAAGAACAAAGGCCATCTCCTGCCTCTTGTGTAATATTTCACAAAAGGAAAACTATAAACCTCCAGCGGTCTGTCTTTGCTATGGTCTTCCCTCGGCCCTCCCTTGACTAACTCACCCATGCACCTTGGATGCAAAGAAGGCTTCTGGGGAAGAGCTTCCCCATAACCTCGAGGTCAGAGCTGCCCAGGACAAGGAGATGACGAAGCTGGAGCTGTCCATCTTCTGTGATTCCTGGCTTGGGAGGGGTTGGCACTAAAGAAGGAACTGGCTTGCTCCAAGAATGAGACCCACAGATGCCTACTTTTGTATGCTTTAATATGGGAACACGGGTCTCAAATTTTACGAATGTCCAGATGGGCCTGAGTCCTTGTGCCATGAGACCCTGGTGCAGCAGAAGTGCCCTCTTCACCCCCAAGACTCCCAGAAGATGGTCAGACTCTTGGAACTGCCGAGCTGGGGTTCTGGTTCACTCATAAGCCCCTGACATGTCTGCTTGCTCCTTTGAATCAGCTAAACAGATGGCTGGTCTCAGGGGCTTGCAGGATGTGTCTGAGTTAAGTGTGATTATCAATAGAATACATTTGCAAAGAGAATCTTCTCTCAGATTCCCTCTCTACAAGCTCACTCTGTGCAGCCTCTGTTAGGGAGAGTATAAAGGCTGCTGTGTCATCAGGTGGCCTTGCCACAGAGTTGTGCATCTGGTGGCTCAGAGTGTGGCCCTATCCTCACCCATAGTGACCACCTCCCCTGTTCTGCAAAGGCATTTTCCCCTCCCGCTGCCTGCTGGGGACTCCAAGGCAGCGATGCCTCTTAACAGCTCTTAGGATCCCTGGGAAAACGAGATTGCTCCCCATTAGGAAGAAGAAGTATTTCCTTCGGTTAGAACTCCATTCACCAGGCTACTATTTTTCTAGGTAATCGTTTATCCAGGTACATGTGAGGTGGAGGAAAAGGGTCTTTGATGCTTTGTCAGACACAACTATTGAATAAAATCAAGCCACGCTGGTGAGTTCACATGAACTGTTATTTCCTTTAATAATGCAAAGGTGTAAACTTCATAAAGGCCTCACTGATTATCTACACAACATTGTTAGCATTCTTGTTAGTAGAAAAACATGATCCAAACCTGCCGTATAAATAGTCCAAAAATGAGCAGAGGAGCCCCGTGGTGTGTGGAGCATGGGCAGCACAACTACAGGGCACAGGGGAGTGGGGTGCAGCTGAGCAAGGTGGGGTGCGCTCACTCCTGCAGGGTCTCTGAGGGCTGCAGCCATCACTGGGAACTCAGTGTCCAGTGGGAGTGGGTGTGAGCTAGAGAGGCGCACTGGTACAAGCCATGGGTCTGTCTAAATGGGACCCTTGAGGACCCTGACATTGTTTCAGCTGAGACCTGCCTGACCCTGGGATGCGTTGAGGGGACAGGGCCACGTCAGTCCTCTCCACACTTAGGACGAGATCTCCAAAGGGTCCCTTCAGAAAGATGGACACTGCCCTTCTCCTGTGGGTGGTCCTGGGATCAGGGGGAGGCAGACTCCCAAACTGGGCCCTACTAGGGTGAAGCCATGTGACTTCTGCCCAAGGCGATCCTAAGAGCCAGTAGCTCTCCCACACTGACCTGTGATCCTTATGCTCTGCCCTGTGCCCAAGAACCATGCCTGCCTCCACTGCCCTGGTGTGAAGTGCCATCTGGGACTCCAGCGGGGGAGAGTTCTGTGGTTGGGGTGAGAGGCACTACCCTGCCTGAGCTACTGCACAGCATGGAGCCTCTGATGTCTGCACGTGAGCCTCTAAACTGAGCGCTAGGGATTAATGGCGAGCGCCAACATAGGTGGCTTTGCCCCTCAGACCACAGCATGGGGTCATTTGGAATCCCAAAGGGAAAGGCTAGTCTTTGAACATTAAAAATAATAACAACAGAAAAAAAATACATAAAGAAACCAAAAAGAACAAAAATCAAGCTTCCGTGGAGATGCTCAAAGATGAGATATGTAGAATGATATGTGACCACAATGGGGGGAGAGAGGGAGTTTTTATTCAGTAGAAGGTCCATCCCCAAGCACACACACTGATATTACCAAGCAGGATTCAGCCCTGAGTCTCCACGAGGGACCTTAACAAAACACACCCACTTTCTCTCCCGGGTGAACTCCCAAGCAGCAGGGAGGAGCAGCTGGGTTTTCAGGAGAGTTTAGAAAATGTCACTGAACCAACCCACCAATACAGAGGCTGGGGCATTCAGGAAGTACTGCCAGGTTGGCTCGGCCCCAATTTATTAACCCTCCTGGGCTGAGCAGTCTGGGAGTGGCCTGTCCCTCCCCTTCTTCTCTACTGAACACACAGAGGCCAGGTAGGGCACTAATGCCTGGTTCACAGTGGATGCTTCCAACCTGTCCTGTAGACTGATGCTCAAAGCCATTCTGTGGGTCATTGCTGAACCACAGCCCCACTCTGTGCTGATCTGTGACATGCTGCCAGGCAGCAGGGGAGTCACCCCGATTGGGAGGCAAAGACCTTTCGAAGCTGACACTTGTTGGCACATCACGGCTTGGCCCTGTTCACAGAGACAGTGTGAGGTGCTGGCCGTAATACGAGGACTGAAAGCACATCCCAGAACGTTCATCAGCCCCAGAAAATATCCAACAAATTCAACTTTTTTTCCAGTGCATGGGCAACAGGGGTGACTTAAGTTGCCCATCATGTCAGCAAAATGCTCATGTGAGTCAGTGTGGTCTGGCTCTCTTAACATGGGCACCTAAATGCTTAATTGCAAGCAAAGCCAATTACTTATTGAAGGGAGGACAAGGAGCACAGAGTTAGAATGAGGGGGAATGCATGGTGATTTTAACAATCTAACACAAGCTTTAGAAGGTACTTAGAATTCTTCCTCTGCTACATCATATTTAGGTTTGAACACAAAATGCAACAAGTAGCAGATATGCAGAAACTTCTCTGTAAACCTAGCATGATGGTTTTTAAAAAATAGCATTTAAAGAAAGAGCTCTCAAATTCTTTTTACTGCCATTAAAAAGGGGGCAAACTCCTTATGAAGTAGCACAAAAGTATCTGTGAGTGGTAACATGTCTGGAGGTAAAGCTTTTTTCCAATCGCAAAACCTTCTCTTCCACACAGAATGGTCGCTCAGCAGCTGTGGCCATGGTGGTCCTGCCAGGTTCTTCCAAAGGGGGCACTGATCTTTTTCATAGGAACTGGGCTTTTAAGCAAATTTAATTTTTGTGTTCAAGTTCCTAACAGAGCAAAAGCAGAGTCACTGCAGAGAAAAGCAATGAGACAAAGGTGTAGGATGCAGAACTGCCTCCCAAGGTTGCTGCAGGTGTCAGGCAATGGGTCCCCAGAGAGAATGTGGTTGTTTAAAAACAAATGTGGCAGTGGGGATGTCCCAGTGACGTCCAAGGTGACAAGTGTGACGACAGACACAGGAAGGGGAGGGGGAGAGAAGGAAAGGGAAGGTAGAGACAGAAACAGAGAAAAAAAATAGATAAAAAGAAAAAAAATTAGGTCAACGCTAGAAAACACAGAATTACAGGTTAATTCAACTTAGTAAATTAAATTGACAAAGGTTAGAGAGGGTTCAGTGCGGTATCAATACCATAAGGCCAGTTCAGAAGCTCAGCAATGCCAGAAGCAGCACAGCAGGGTTAATCTGGGGGTTAGGGATCAGCGAGCAAATGAAATTAAAGTGAGAGAACAGAAGCCTCCACAGTAAAATACAAGAGTTTGATTAGGAGAGTGTTACCTTTCACTAAGGTGAAGCCTCTTAGATACAGCCAGCAAGTGTATCGTCTTCTAGTGTCTAGCGTGTTTTACCCATAGTGGTGGAGATGCATTCAATCGCTGCACTATGAGTCAGCACACTGTGCATAGGGATTGGGGATCGCCTTGTCAGAGATGAAGCAGGCTTTTCTTCCTATGCCACAAGTCCCCCACGCCAGTGCTGTTAAAGGAAGTCTCGTTCTGCTCCCCTCTTCACCTTCTACCCTGTTTGCTGACCACAGAATTCAACCACAGATGTCCAACTTGTCATTCAGAGAGCTTTTATTCTCGGATCCCAATTCAATGGCCAGGAAAGTCTAACCAAGAACACAGCCACCACCTTCTCAGACCTGTGCAGGAGAGCCACAGAGCCATCACTGGTGAGGTGAGCAATCCCCCAGCCCTCTCTGGCTTAAGCGGGCACCTGGGCGATTCACAAGAAGGACTCTGACGTCTCCAGCAGGCACAACTCTGGAGGACAAGGTCTACCCGGAATTTCGGTCTCTGACACAAAAACCACAGAAGCCAGTACCGCTAGGAGTACCCAGCATGTGAACACAGCAGGTCCAAACAGCTTACCCAGTGAGTCTCACCCCAGGAAGCAATTGCCATAAGGAATCTGTCTTGCTGCAAAGGGGTTACTCAAGCCTCACCTGATCTCACCTCCTAAGTGTCCCATGAAGGCCGGACAGATCTGGACATTCACCCCGGACTGTCGTTTGCAAGGGAACGGACCAAAGAATGGAGAGAAAGAAGGGGCAGAGGAAAAACAAGGAGAACCTCCGTTTGAACATCCTATTAAGCTATAATGAGGACATTTCCTGCAGCCTCACCCACGTGCCTTGCCTTCTGCACCGACCATCTGACCAGCAACTGTGGAGAAACACCCACCCCAGCAAGCACTGGGGAGCCTTCCTGACAGTGCAGGGGGCACCAATTGATGCTTCTGATCTACAGTTTAAAACTCACCTGCCAACTCACTGGAGGTCCAGCACACGTCTCCCAGACACACACACCCATGTACAAACAACCACTGGGAACCACACACTGATCTTGTTTGGTTGCTGCTGTCCTAGCCCACTTTTGCACATACATCCCTGAATCATAGGCAGCCCACAGCCCTCTGGCCTGTCTCCCCCTGGGAGGAGCAATCATGACCACAGAGCCAAGAGCTGGGCAAGCACTGAAGACAGGGTAGGCGTGAGGGGGGCTGCCTAAGGCCATCTTCCCACCACACTTGAACATGGCAGAGTATATGGGGCCCCCAAAAGGCTGCAGCTGTATGTTGTATGCCCACCTCTCCTGCCTATGGTTGGCCTTTGGATGGTCTGGAAAAGCAGAGTGATCAGTTGAAGAGCTCCTTCTTCTCTGAGGGATTTGGCCAATAAGGAGACTGGCCATCAGTGGCAAGGTTAGGTCTTGGATCCCTGGAGACAGATCTGCATCTACTAGGAGAATTGCTGCCATCACAGTCTCTAGCAGACTGAATTGCTTTCACTGATGGTGCTTTCCAGCGTCTATTTTCTCCACTTGTTCTATTACAAGTGGTTCAATTTAATGTATGTTTCCATTGAGAGGCCTTTGGTAGATAGGGTTTGTAACTAACTGGGCATCATCTCTTCCTTCTCTTGGGGTCATCACAGAGAAGAGATTTGGACCATGGCTGTGCTGATAAAGCAAGCATCAGATAGAAAGTGCTTAGAAACAGTTATGTGGTCCAAGTATGATGTGGCAGATGGCAGATAAGGTCTCAAAAAAGGACGCTTACTCAACCAACTTCCAAGGCTAGGCTGGAGCTGGAGCACTTCCCATCTGAGGGGTCCAATGGACTGATTGGCATCAGTCCTTCAAGGCCAAATGGGATAGGACCTTTTCTCCAGGATGCTTGGCCAAGCCTTCCTGGGGGTCCAGTACATCTCACCCCACTGCACAGATAGGTACAAGGCAAAACTAAGCTTTGCATGGGCAACCAATCATGAGGATGGCTGTAAGCAAGCAAGTTGTCAGGGTTCTTCAGGCGCATTAGGAGGTGCAGCACTTGTGCATTAATTCAAAGCGGGAAACAAACAGAAAGCAGAGGCAGCCATACCTGGGATGGCTGTGGGCTGGGCCGAGGTCCTGAACACAAAATGAGCTGCCTTGGATTTTCCTTGCTGGTTCTCAGCCACCACGTAGACCTCATACTCAGCGTTCCAGTCCAGGGACTTCAGCATGACGTGGTCACTGCCAGACGGGAGCCTGATCTCTGGTTTCCACTCGGAGGAGAGCTTCGGAGGATACAAGAGACCAAAAGAAGGATACAAGAGACCAGAAAAGCTTTAGACAGAAGTACTGGTAAGACCAGATAATAGGCAGAACTTACGGGACTCAATAACTTTTGGTGCGAAATCATGGAAATAAGAAGCAATGATGGGGGTTGGGCGCAGTGGCTCATGCCTATAATCCCAGTCACCTTGGGAGGCCAAGACGGGTGGATCACTTGAGGTCAGGAGTTCGAGACCAGCCTGGCCACCATAGTGAAATCCCATTTCTACCAAAAATACAAAAATTAGCTGGGCGTGGTGCCACATACCTGTAGTCCTAGCTACTCTGGAGGCTGAGGCAAGAGAATGGCTTGAACCCAGGAGGTGGAGGTTGCAGTGAGCCAAGATTATGCCACTGCACTCCAGCCTGGCTGACAGAGCAAGACTCTGTCTCAAAAAAAAAAAAAACCAAAAAACGAAGAAGAAGAGAAAAAAAAAAGCAGTGATGGGACATGGTCTTTATTCTTTACCAGCCTGAAAAATTGCACAGGTCAGGAGGTCAACCTTGCATGCTGGCAAACACAAGCAGCAGCAGATGCCAGTGTGGCACTGAGCCAACCCTGTCAAGGTCCCATCACCTTCAGGGCATGCAGAGACTCAAGCACCATCCCTGTCTCCCAGGCTATACTCTGGTGCTGGGGACATACGCAAAAAGATGTCTTAGAAGAGTAATAAAACAAGTATGTTTCTTGTCATATTTCAGGATGCTGCTTAAGTTAAGGTGTGTGACTCACCTTCCTGATGTGTGAATACTGTGTAGATTCCAGTTTCGTTAAAAATAAAAACTATTTTTGTTGCGCCCTTACTAAGCGCTAGGCACTACAAGAAGCTTTACACACATTTTCTCGTTGTATTCCTACAACATGCCTGTGGGGTTTCGTCAGGCTCTTACTAAACCCGATGATGGGGAAGTGAGAGAGAAGTAAGGTGACTAACGTAAAATCACACCTGTAGTCAAGGTTGGAGCTAAGTTCGTTTGGGCCCAAAACTATGATCTTTCCTTTTTTTTTCTTAATTGTGTTCTTGAAAATAACAGTTTTAATTGATACAAAATAGCTATACATATTTTCAGGGTACATGTGATAACTTAATACATTCACTTAATTTGTAAAGATCAAGCCAGTGTAATTGAAATATCCATCACCTTAAATATTTGTCTTTCTTCAGGCTAGAAACATTTGAATTATTTTCTTCTAGCTAGTTGGAAATATACAATAGGTAATTGTGAACTACTGTCACACTACTGATCTATCAAACGCTTGGCTGTATTTCTTCTATCAAACTGCATTTGTTCCCATCAATCAATCTCTCTTTATCTTCTCCTCCTCTCATGATCTTTCCTTTCTTTAGTAGGGAGCTCAACAAACGTCTGTTGGACTGAATAAGGTTTTTCTATTCCATGCCGTGTGGCCTGGTCTCTGTAACTGCAACAAATAGATGGTGGTACCTCAGGACTCAGTTCTGCTGTCAAGTCCAACAGTGGGCTGCTCAAAGGGTCCACAGAGAACGATAATTAGGTAACCACCTCCCTCACCAAACAGTTGTGGAAGAAGACGTGGAAGGCCTGAGAAGTCTTCAGACGGTTTCACAATTGCACAGCCCACCTTTTTTGCAATCTTTGGTCTTTTCACAAGGCAGATGCCCTGGGGTATCTGCTGGGCACACAAGAAGGCTTGATAGATGTTTATTGCACGACAGGCTGCTCCTTAGAAGGGCAGAACACAATAGCACTGTCACCTGGACAGTGGTCTGGTAGCTGTTGTAGGCCCATGGCTAAGGCTGGATGAGGAGCTATCTTACAGCAAAGCAGTCCTCCCAGGCAAAAGGGTTTGCACCAGCCAAAGAGATGGCTTTAGGAATGTGACAGTGCTCATGCCGTATGGGCAAATGCTAGTAGTGCTGGAAGGGGAATTCTAGTTTCCTTAGAGTCTAACCAGAAAGTCTGGCTATGCTGTAAGCTAGGATGTATATATATATCACTATGTGGCTCCATTTTCATTTAAAACAAAGCAGTTCAGGTATCTTTCCTCTTCATTTCTCTGTCTTCCTTGGCAAACATCATTATACAAGAGACAACCAGAATCTAGAGAAAATGTATGTTATATTATACTTATCCATAATATAAAATGATAATATTTAGCAAACATGAATGAGGTTTTGAAGTGAGAGAGAGGGTGGTTAAGGTTGTTAAAATCTAACACATTTCAGTGTTGTGCCCAGTTGTGTCTTTCTAATGCAGGGCTGCCTGCTGCAGCCACAGTGGTTCCTCAGACATCCGACGTGATCTCACACAGGAGATGGTTCCAGCCTGAGCCTGCCTCTTAGCAGCAACCGTAGTGACCATTTATAAAGGTTTCCAAGTGTCAGGCACATTTCAGGCTCTTTGCATATATTATAATGCATCTTTATAACAACTCAGTAAGCTATTTTATCCGCATTTGACAGATGGAGAAATTGAAGTTCTGAAAGATTAGGTGACCTATTCTTCCAGAATAAGTAGTAAACCTAGAACTGGATGCCATGTCTGTCTGGCTCTAAAACCTGTGTTCTGTCCACGGGGCCACATCAGGAAAACCATTGGAAAGGCATCCCAGCCTACCACACCTCCGCTTCCAAGGGGATATTGGGGATGACCTGCCCAATCCTTGTGCCCTACTCGGCAGTGAGGAAGCCATGAGGACCTCTCAGTCACTGGGATCTCTGGACTGGGCCTTAGGGCAGTGACAGGCCTTTCCTACTATTTCAGCTCACACCTGCTTACAAATTAAGTGGGAACAAGGCCTCCCCAGCTGAGAAGTGTGCCTGCAGGGCTCTGTGCTGAACCAGCTCTCCAGAAGGCTAGCCAGTTAAAGACCTATCACTTCCACGGGGGACTGATCACAAGGCAGAGAGGAAGTAACTCAGCTTCCTAGAAAAAGTCTTCCTTGGGGCTATGTGAAGAAAGGAGATTGCTCCCTTGTTCATTCTTTTCTCTACTACAAAACCCTAGCAAGAGGTTATTCTCAGTGTTCAGATGTGGCCTCTAAATCTCTCAGCCATTGGTTGTAGTTGAAGATGACCAAGTGTCATTCTAAAACCAAATGGAAAGGGTGATTTTCAGTGTGGGATTCGGATCAAAGTGGAATGAGGGGAATCTTAAGTGGCTGGTGAGCAAACCAGGAGAAGATGGCTTAGAGCCAACTTGCTGTTAGCAGGATTAGGACAGCTCAGGTGGCCAGGTGAAGGGCTGGTGAGGGAACAAGGATTGTTTGAGGACCTTAGGCAGCCTCGGGCAGTGGGGAGAGCCCAGTCTCTCAGTCAGGCTTGGATTTAAACTGCCTCATCCAGCTGTGTGAGATCCGGCACTTACTGACTGCTGTGCACCCACTTACTTCATCTGTAAAGAGGGGATAATGGTCAGACCTACCACACAGGGTTCTCGTGCAGAGAAAATGCATGTGGTCACAGTGACAGTGCAGGTGCCCGGCCTACCATACACATTTTATCCAAGGTAGTGATTCTTATATATTAGTATGGCATTTAAGAGAAGTACTAGATAATGGCAAAATAACTTTGTAGAAAAGTTCAAGACACAGAAAAATCAACCATGGTATGAGTTTGTCACCACCACAGTCATCTAAGAGGCTTTCAAATGGACCCAGTGTGAACATGACCTAACAGCTGTAGGGCCATCTTGGGATTTTAAGCCATGGCCAGGGCCCATGGGCCACCTGCCAGACACAGAGTAAGACCCCATCCCACCCCTGCCCCACCTGGGCTGCCCCTGTTGTTTCCCTAGCAAGCTGGGTGTCAGGGTCTCAGGGTTCTGGTGAAGTCTGAGAAGGAGGCCACTCACCGCTCGGTACCTGACCAGATAGTGTCTGATGGGGGAGCCGCCGTCATCCTGCTTGATCAGGTTCACTTTAATAGAGTTTCCATCCTCTCCCATCTGCCCTTCGAGCTTAGGTGCACTGGGTTCCCCTGAAACAGCCAGTTAATTCACATGAAATTCGCATCCACAGAAGGAAAATCCAACCCATCCGAATGGGATGGAGTGACAGGGTGGGGCTGGACACTTTTCTTGCTTTCTCAGAAATTCAAATGGTTAAAAAGCAATAAAAATAAAACTGAATTCCAGGTAGATGCCTCAGACTGAGCCCAAACTGAGAGTGCCTCTTGGGAATGTTCTGGTAAATAGCCTTCCTGTGAGCAGGGTCCTTTCAGCGTTTTAAGAATAGGCTTTTTTTTTCTGTCTCTCTCACTGGTACTTATGTTTCCTTTTAGTTGCTCTTATAACTGAAGATTTAATTTTTATAAACCTGACACATCTTGAGGAACAGCCTGAAATAGGAGAAAATACAAGTGTTTGAGTAGGAAACTCCCATCCATAAAATTATTTTGCAAAACAGCCCAGTTTCTTGCCGGGACATGTTACTCACCCCTGGGGCTAGGAGGCCTGATCTCTAGTGGGAGTAAATAATGCTGCATTCTTGGGACTGGCTTTTCATGAATGACATTTTATTACTCAGACTCATTAAAAAAATAAGAAGTTTCCGGTTGTGATTAAATAAAGCACGACTTGCCCTAGGCAAGTTTTTTGAAAGTATCCTTATGCCTCTTACGCAAGTTTCCTGTAAGTATCCACTTATGGTTCAAATGAGTGAGTGCTAATCCTCACACTTTAATGTGTTAAAGTGACAATCAGTGCAGTCTTTTTCTTTGTAAGAGGAGAGACAGAAAAACGTCTTTAGCATTTCTCAACAGAAAAAAAGTTGTTTCTTGATTTGCAATATACACTCAGCTTGTAGCACTGTGAATCCAAGGTTGAGAAGGAAGATGAACTTGCATGGGACAAACTGCTAGGGCTAGGATGGTTCTCCAGTGAGTAAGGCACTAATTTACTTTAAAAGAAACAATTGCATTAATATATGCTGAAAGTAATAAAGTGAGAGGACATCTCACATACAAAGTTAAAATGAAGATTTAACACAGCGGGGAATCCTGCACTTCTGCGAGGAGCTACCTCTGCATCTATTTCATAACCTCAGAGAGAAAACTTGGAGACGCTACAAAACAGTTACCTTCTGGGTGGGTCACTCTGGCTTGCTCTCTGGAAAACAGAATCACAGACATGTGACAGAAGAGCCACAAAACGGCTTGTCACCAGGGCTTGGATCTAAGCACCTAAAACTGCACCACTGGCCATTTACGAGACGGCTACAGGCACAGTTAGTGTCACGCCTCACTTCTCATTCAGCTACTCGGGGAACCACCTTCCTTCGATACAAGGAGGAACCAGGGAGAAGGCGAAGGAAGAGCCCACTGCTCATCATCGCAGGGCTAGCAGCAGGCGGATCACCTGGGCACTTGTCAGAAATGTAACCAGATCCTTCCAGTGATCTGTGTGCACGTTTAGGTTTGAGAAGTAGCAGTAACAGGGATAGATTAAAAGCTACAACAGGGAGGATGCATAATGTCGGGAGGATATTTAGGAAAAGTTGTGCTTATTATTTGTTTTCTTAGATCAATAATTAAGGAAAAATAAAAATAGGAATAAAAAGATGAATGGATTTCAGGCAAAGACCTGTCTTGTTTTAAAGCCGCTATCTAGCCCTGGGCCACAGCTATTCAGTGGAAAATAGGTAGAAATTTGGTTTAGACATGTCAAGGTATTTAGGCTTTCCAAATTCCTTTGGACTGTCCCAAGTCCTAGACAATACATCAGTTATGTCTATGTCATTATAGATATCTAGCGCTGAAAAGCGACTCAAAGTGGCATAGATTTTAGATCAGGGCAGGAGCTCTGTGTAGATTCAGAAATGCTGAACAAATAGAAGGTGACACAGGAGAACTTTACAAATTGTATTCTCTGATTAAATTGGGGTGACCAACTCATCCCGGTTATCCTGGAACATTCCAGGTTTTAGCACTGCAAGTTCAACATCCTGGGAAACCCTTCAGTCCCAGGCAAACTGGAATGGTTGATGACCCTAGACCTACTGCAAATGAACGTAATTATTCTAACTTTATCCACTCAGAATCACAACACTGGCTCTGTGCTGAATGGTCTACCTGCCCTAGCATGGAGGGGATTTTTACAGGCAGCATCAGCGGCCCTTCCAACATGCCCACTAGGCAAGGACTGTGTCCTTCTCCCAAGGCCTCCTTTTAGGGATCAGTCCACTGGGGCTTCTCTGGCTGCACGTTCCTAATGAGTTCCTCTTGAAATTGAGCAGTGTGAGTTTTCAAGGCTGAATCAATCCTGCAAAATGCTGTCTCCGAACTCTGCATCATGGGGGGTCTGTTGCCTCGATCAAGTTTCATTCCACATTTGCAAAATATGGGCCCTGAACTGGATGCTCTTTAGGAATCCTTCCAGCTCTGCCGTCATGTGAAACAGTGACAGCCACTGCACTAGCACGGACTGCCAACTATACCTGGGCTGTTTCTCATGACATTGTGGGAAACAGAACGCAAAATACAAGACTTTCAGCCAATTTTAGGGAGATGCACTCCAAGGTCAACAATTCCACATCTCTAAGGCAGAAAGTTGTCAACTTTTTGCTTTAAAATGTTGAAAAAATTATCTCAAAAGTTTTATCTTTGAAAAGAGAGCCCCAAGTCTCTTCAAAGACCTAAAATAAAAGTCTCTGGGGAATCCTGCAGAAACCAACTTCCCTGATGAAAGTACTCTCTTATCTTTAGATTTGTTTCAGAAAAAAATTTAACTTGAATCAGAGAAAAACCATCAAATTCTATACCATAGTTAGAACACAGTTCCAACATTTGACATAGTTAGAACACAGTTCCAACAATTTACATAGTTAGAACACTGTAATTTGCTATCATTGTATCTGAGTGACTATCAGTACTCTGATATGTGTGTATTATTTTCTCATAGAATTTAGAGCATTTTATATTATATAATAATATTGACTGGGCACAGTGGCTCATGCCTGTAATCCTAGGACTTTGGGAGGCTGAGGCAGGTGGATCACTTGAGGTTAGGAGTTTGTGACCAGCCTGGCCAACATAGTGAAACTCAGTATCTACCAAAAAAAAAAAAAAAAAAAAAAAAGCTGGGTGTGGTGGCATGTGCCTGTAATCCCCGCTACAGCTACTCGAGAGGCTGAGGCACAAGAATCACTTGAACCCGGGAGGCAGAGGTTGCAGTGAGCCAAGATCGTGTCACTGTACTCCAGCCTGGGTGACAGAGTGCGATCTTGTCTCAAAAATAAAATAAAATAAAATTTAGGTTTATTATTTAGAGTGCTCTACCTATGATTTATTCAACAGACGTGTACTGAGTATCTACTAGGTCCCAGGTAGTCTATTAGGCACTGAAGCCTCAAAGGTAAATAAGACACAATTTTGTTTGCCAGATGAAAAAACTAAGTTATGATTAATTCTTTTAAAAGATGATGGGGCCCTTGGACAGATACATAATGCTTCCTATGACCTTTTTTTTCTTTTTGAGACAGGGTCTTGCTCTGTCACTCAAGTTGAAGTGCAGTGGCACAGTCATAGCTCACTGCAGTCTCAATCTCCATGACTCAAGTGATTCACTCACCACAGCCTCCGGAGTAGCTAGGACCACAGGCACATGCCACCACACTTGGCTAATTTGGCTAATTTTTAAAGTTTTTGTAGAGATGGGGTCTCACTATGTTACTGAGGCTGGTCTTGAACTTCTAGGCTCAAGTTATCCTCCTACGTTGGCCTCCCAAAGTACTGGGATTATAGGTGTGAGCCCCTGCACCCAGCCTATGACAGTATTTCTACACGAAGATCATATTCAACTAATATCACAGAGATTTGGACCCATTTGGTGGCTCTGTAACTTGCTGTGAGTACATGAAAATATGGAAAGAGCAATTGTTTAATCAAGCGTCTTATCTTCCAGTGTTCACTGTCAGTGAATTCTCTTAAAGATTACAAATGGGGTTAGAGAAACTTTCTTAGGCTTTCTGCACAAAGCCATGCCTGATGAGGGAGGGGCTGTGGCGGGAGAAAAGGACCTTTCTGTTCAGGAGGCTGACTGCTATATCGAGCACATTAGCAGAAGAAATGCCTGAGAGAGTCCTGATGTGCACTGTGTTCTGAGATGGTGGCTCTGATTGAAATCATTATGAGTAATTTCAGTAAAACCAATATTGTAATTATTTGTAAATGTTGGTTTGCGATTCAGCAGCAATCGGCAGGTTGCTCCCAGAAGACCCCTGGGGTTAATTACACCCTTGGAGTTTAGCTTTAGCCATGAGTCAAATGTTCCCCCCAAAATGCATTATGTAAAGACTACACCAATGGAACATTAAAAAGAAACTTTGCCAATAACAAATATAAAGTATTGTGCAGTTCTGTTATTTTCTAGCAGGATGTGAATCATGAACCCAAGAAAGAAAGAACGTACCATAGAGGCCACGTACAGTCAGATATATCACAGGCAGGTCCTATGAAATTCTCTCTTAGAAACCATAATTGAAATGTGTATTTCTGGCTATGCCGATTGCAGGTTCTCTGTTTGTAATTACTGTGCTACTGTACTCTTAAATCTGAATCGGCTTTATGCCCTTCCTCTCATCAGCAGAAGCCCTAGGAATTAGAAAACTCCGGCTGGATATCTGAATTCCACAACAAAAATAGTAGCAAATCCAGGGTACTTGGACAGCATTGGTGAATTTTAGCAGGAAACAACATTCTATTTCTCTCTCAAAGGAGCCCAAACACCAAGAGTTAGCTGTGTCTTCTGAATGAAAGGCTGGGGTGCCAAACAGGCATCCTCAAGGAAGCCTCTATTTGGGGCTGGGCACAGTGGCTCATGCCTGTAATCTCAGCACTTTGGGAGGCCAAGGCGGGTGGATCACCTGAGGTCAGGAGTTCAAGACCAGCCTGGCCAACATGGTGAAACCCTGTCTCTACTAAAAAAAAATAAAAAAATTAACTGGGCATGGTGGTGCCTGTAATCCCAGCTACACAGGAGG